TGTTTGGGTCTTTGTTTACACCAGTCTGAGTAAGTCACCGTCGTGTTTGTCTGCGTGACACCTGCACAGGTCGACCGTTTGCCATGGAGCTGCTGAATCCTCACAGAGCCAGACTGAACGTCCAGGACATGAAGCAGCTGCAGGAGGTTTGACTCGGACTGTTTTTACACTATGTGTTGGAAAAGGCTGTTCAGTTGTTCAGTTATGGGAGCTACGTTTGCTAAAGTTGACTTTGTACATTCTAACAAAACCACAAATTAAAAAGCTACAAACTGTTTCCAGAGCATCAACGTGTCGTCAGACAAAATCAGAGTAAGGGACCTTCAGATTGTTTCCAGGTGAGAACCGTGGCACTGTCGCAATGATTATAATGTGAAAAGGGGAAAATTAAACATCTGTGTTTGTTTGTTTGTTTGTTAAACCTCAGAGAGGCGATGGGTCGGATGAAGGAAGGCGAGGAGGAAAAGACCAAAACCTACACTGCTCTAATCTGGACGAGGAAACCTATCAAGAAAGAAGACATTGCCTTCATTAGTGACATTAAGGTGGTCTTACACACACACACACACAAACTAAATGACGCTAATTAAAGTCCACCAAGTGAGAAAGTTACTCAGTAAAAGGAAAAGTAAAAAATGTTCTTCCTGAAAATGACCCCACGTCTTGAACACAGACCCTCGCCGTGTTTTTACACAGGAAGAAAGAAGGGATTTAAAAATAGAAAGTTCATCCTCTTGTCTGCTGCTGTGCTTCAGGAGCTGACCCTTGATCAGAAGACTCCTCTGAGGGTTTTGCACCGACGCGCGTTGGCCGTCCGCCAGCGTGTGGTCCACAGTATGAACACCCGTTTCCTGGACGCCCATCACTTCCACCTGGAGCTGAAGACTCAAGCTGGGACGTATCCTTAGGTCTGAGACATCCGGTAGAATAAATCTGTTACAGTCCCGTGTGTTGGTGGAGCCTTAACCTGGGTCGACAGGTACGTCAAAGAGTTCGTTCACGGAGACTTTGGACGCACCAAACCCAACCTGTGTGACCTGCTGAAGATGGACACTGACATCCTGGAGCTGGACGTGGAGGTTTGACAAACGTTCAGAGGACAAAATCTCACTAAGTCAGTTTTTATCTACCTTTTCACGTACTCTCGTCCACTGTTACATTTTTTCCCCCCATTTCCTCTCAGTCTGTAGATGTGGACTGGCCGCCTTCTATCCAAGAGTGAGAGCTGCTGCTGCTGCTTCCACCTCCACCACCTCAGCCTGGACCAGAAGTTCTGCCCTGACAAGGACGGAGGAGGTTCCTTATGTTGACGTGATCATGGAAAACTCCCAGACCAAACTGCTGCTGATTTGATCAGGACGCTACAGATCAAACACTTCTCGTTACCTTCCCCTTTTTGCTTAGAAGCAAAATAAGTCCTCGATTTGTCTCACAGAGGGACATCTTCTGTCATGTTTCGTCCACTCTGGATTGTGAACTAAATACGTTTTAAAGAATTGAAAAAGACACTTGTTTTTTTCCTCGTCATTTCACAGATGAAATACTAGGTCAGTTCAACAGTTTGGTTCCTATTGTCCGACTTTCCTCCTGGTCGTGTTTTCATTCTGGACTGCAGGCAGGCCAGTGATGAGGCCTGTTGGGAACAACAGTGGTGAGAAGACACTACCTGTTCCACAAACCTCTGGGTTATCCTCAGTTCCTGTCAGTGGTCTCCACATGTGTATCTACTGTACAGGTGAATCTGTTAAATGCAAACAAAAATAAAATATTTGGTATTTTCCAGGCTGTTTCCTTTCTGTCATTACAGAAAAAGTAACAAAAACAAATTAACAAAGGTCCAACATGACAGACACAAAAAAGCAAATGTCTCAGTTAAGTTCCCTTTTCCCCCAAGGAATAAATTTATTTCAAATTATTTCAAATAATAAAAACAGCGGCTGATTAACATGTAATGACCACATATAGAGTGAACAAGGTGAGAAAAAAACCCAGGACCGAAGAGTCGTCTCCTTCATCATCATCATCATCACGATTCCTGACAACATGGACTTTTTCCATTGTTGGCAAAGTGTCACGAGTCCAAACTGCTCTGACTCATCATCATCATCATCATCTTTCCTATATTACAGCATTTTTACAACACAAAAATAGATCATTAACTATGATTACCATACTCCATTGTGTAAATATACAATATTTATTGCATTTTCAAATAGACTCCTTTCTTATTTACTTCGTCATCATCTTCCCCCTAAGAGAAAAAAAATAAAAAATAAAAAGCACCAGTACCTATAAGAGTGACAACAGATTAGTGTAAGGCAAAGACCAGCAGGAGGCGCTGCATCACTGAGAATGAAGTATGAGAGTTAGTGAAGCCTTTGAAAGGAAGGGTGTAGTAAACCACCTCCACCTGCTTTAAACGTTATCTGGCACTTAGTGTTCCTCTTTTATTTGGTTAGCTGCTACCAGCTACAATCTGTACAAACTGCATAGCAATTCAACAACACGTCATCTCCCTCTGAACACACACACACACTCACACACACACCAACACCCGCAAACACACACACACAGTCGCTCCAGCTTCTATATTCCCAGCAGCAGCAGCAACAGAAGACAAAAACATAGATTCACCACATGGTCCGTATTTAACAGCTAATCTGAAGAAAAACAAAAAACAAAAAAACAAATGTCAGAATATAATCCTAAAAACGTCAGATTATGGACCAATCGAACGTAATCCAGGGTTTGGCCACAAGGGTATTTGGATAGAGATGTAACCCAACACCTCAGGGACAATATGGACTGGGCCTGTGCCCGTCTGATGACCATCTGATGACCGTCTGATGACCGTCTGATGACCGTCTGATGACCATCTGATGACCCGTTAACGTCATATGATGACCGTCTGATGACCATCTGATGACCATCTGATGACCATCTGATGACCGTCTGATGACCCGTTAACGTCATTGTCCAATACTGGTCAGCGTCAGTGGATCTTTTTTTTTAAGTGTGGTTGTGGGCGGTGCTGATGTAGGAGCAGAATCTACACATGAAACATGACAGAGTCTCAGTAAAAACAGGCAACTCATTTGGCTCAGCTTTGTCTGCACACGTCTGTGATATGAGATTACAACAGGTTCGCTGCTGCTGCGTGTGTGTGTGTGTGTGTGTCTGTAGAAACCTCGTGCCGCTCCACAGAACCATCACCAAACTGTCAGACAAAGCCAACAGTCCAACAATCAGATGAGGAAGCAACAGGTGTGTTAAGGTGTTGTAGTCACCCGTCACCTCAGTTTGACTGTGTCTGCATCTCCAACAACCACGCTTAAAAAAAAAAACAAAAAAAAAAACCGTAATCACCAAAAAGACTGATTCAGCTTTTGAAGAGACTGAACAAATCACTTCTTGGTCTTTGTTCCCTGAAAGTGAAGGGGAATCTCAATTTGTCAAGTGCATTATAAAAAATGTTGTGCACAAACACAAACTTGTTGCAGCAGTAAAGCTGATGGTGCAACATCTCGTAGTGATAGAAAATAATACAAATAATAATAATAATAATTAAAAAAAAGAAAAACATTAAAAAGGAAAAGATACAAAAAGACTATCACGGAATGGTTCCTGTCAGTGAAAATAAAACTGTTCCACATTCATGATGAACAAGAAAAAAAAAAAAAAGAAAAAAAGAAAGAGTGGAATATATATTTATATGTGTGTATAGGAAATTTAAAAAAAAAAAAAATCTCTCTGCCCTTCATTAGTCTCTGGCTTTTGGCACAATGAGACAGAGATGAGTTAAACACCCCTCCACCTGGCACTGGAATGACTGAAAACAAAGTTAAATTTAAGAAAATACAAATAGTCCCACAGTCACGGCATCATCATCATCATCATCATCATCGTCATCGTTGTCATAATTCAGTGGGAACAAAGGTCCATTTTCCTGCACTTTTCCTACACCCACGTGAACTTTGACCCCAACAATAATCAGGCTGTTATTCAGAGGAGCCAAAACAAACAAACAAAAATCACTGTTATTATTATGAATATGTATTAAAAGAAGAAAAAAAAAGAAGCAGAGATGGAGAAGAGTTTTCAGTTTGGTCCTGACATGTCAGAGAAGAGAAGCTTCTACGTCCAGTCAGCTGAGAAGACGTCCACACAGTCACCGCCCCGGCCAAGTGCGTCTGTGTTTGTGAGGAAGTGACGGTGGAGTGGTTGGAGCGGAGCCCGTCAGCTCTTTTGGCCACTGTGCTTCCAGCTGCTGGTTTGCTCAAAATGTGTGTTTCTTTTACCAGAGTGTGTGTATGTGTGTATGTGTGTGTGTGTGTGTGATTCCATCCCTGTCCCCCCCCCCCCTCCCTTTTCT